AGGGCTCCTGAACCTGGGGCTCATCCACTCCATCTGCTTTTCTTTTCTTTTTCTTCTCTCGTTATTTTTTGTCTGTTCTTTTTTATTTTACTTACCTCTTGGTGAAGAGCTTAGTCACGGTGACTGCATTGGCAGCAGTGAGTGGGAACAGCAGCGCAGACATACGAGTCATCCCAGCAGTGGGGGACATGAGTAGCAGCATGGACTTGCGGCAGTGGCGTCACAAGCAGGTATGTGTTCTGGCGGCTTCTGCATCATTGAGGCGGTCTGAATGCTGACTCATGGCTGCTGCTAGGGAGGCAAGTTTGGGTTCCCAGCAGTGTCTGTGTCTAGCACGGATTCATGGAGGTGGCAGCAGAGGTGTGTTTGAGCCTAGTACGAGATCTGGTTGCATCAGCGAGGTGGGCCTGAAGCAGACTCGTGGTAGCAGTGGAGTTGAGTTTGGACTGGTGTGGTACCCAGCTGCATCAGTAGTGTCTGGATTGGCAAGCTCCAGCAAGGACTGATGGTGACGAGGTGTTGGTGGAGGCGAGATGGCACCAAAGAGTGGCGAATTTCGTTCCAGTTGCAGCAGGATGGTGAAGGGGACTTAGGCCTGGCCACCAGGCCCATGGCCCATGACAGAGTACTTAACAAGAAAGACTGTGAAGTTGAATATTTTCTTTATTTCTTCATTTTCTGCTTTTATGTTTTATGGTTTAGTTTATTTTTCTGTGTTTTAAGAGAGCAGCCAGAGAGCAGCAACACTGTACTACACTTTTCACAATATTTTGATACAAGAAACACGTGACAATAAATAAATCAAATAAATAAAATGAAGTTTATTGGCATCAGGTCAAGCATGGACAAGGAAATCTCTTGTTGATTATAAAATAATGAGGGTATTGATAGGGTGAAGAGTCAAGAACTCCTCACTGTCCAATAGAAGACAGAGGGTGGTAGTACCTGGAAAGTATTCAGCCTGGAGCTCGGTGACCAGTAGTGTTCTGCAGGGATCTGTTCTGGGACCTCTGCTCTTTGTGATCTTAATAAATGACTTTGATGAGGAAGTGGAAGAGTGGATTAGTAAGTTTGTCGATGACATGAAGGTTGGCGGAGTTGTGGACAGCGTGGAGGGCTGTTGCAGGTTGCAACGGGACATTGACAGGATGCAGAGCTGGGCAAAGAAGTGGCAGATGAAATTCAACCCAGAAAAGTGTGAAGTGATTCATTTTGGAAGGTCGAATTTGAATGCAGAGTACAAGATTAATGGCAGGATTCTCGGCAGTGTGCAGGAACAGAGGCATCTTGGGGTGCACGCCCATAGTTCCCTCAAAGTTGCTACCCAAGTTGGTAGGGTTGTAAAGAAGGTGGATTGTGTGTTGGCTTTCATTGGCAGGGGAATTGAATTTAAGAGCCGTGACGTTATGCTGCAGCTCTATAAAACTCTGGTTAGACCATGCTTGGATTTTGTGTTCAGTTCTGGTCACCTCATTATAGGAAAGATGTGGAAGCTTTAGAGAGGGTGCAGAGGAGACTTACCAGGATGCTGCCTGGACTGGAGGGCAGGTCTTACAAGGAAAAGTTGAGGGAGCTATGACATGTCATTGGAGTGAAGAAGGATGAGAGGTGACTTGATAGAGGTGTTCAAGATGATGAGAGGCATAAACAGAGTGGATAGCCGGAGACTTTTTTCCCAGGGCGGAAATGACTATTACGAGGGGGCATAATTTTAAGGTGATTGGAGGAAGGTATAGGGGAGATGTCAGAGGAAGGTCCTTTACACAGAGAGTGGTGGGTGTGTGGAATGCACTGCTGGCGGTGGTAGTGGAGTCAGATACTTTAGAGACTTTTAAGTGACTCTTGGATAGGCACATGGATGATTGTATAATGTAGGGTATGCAGGGTAGTTTGATCTTAGTCTGATAATAGGTCGGCACAACATGGTGGGCCAAAGGGCCTGTACTGTGCTGTACTGTTCTATGTTCTATGTTTTCACCAGAGTAAGGGAGCCCAAAACTAGTGGGCATAAGTTTAAGGTGAGAGGGAAGGATTTGAAAGGGCCCTAAAGGGCATCATTTTCATGCAGAGGATGGTGCGTGTATGTAATAAGCTGCCAGAGGAGATGGTGGAGACTGGTACAATTACTGCATTTAAAAGGCATCTGGAGGTGAACATGATAGGAAGGGTTTAGAGGGATGTGGGCCAAATGCTGGCAAATAGGACTAGGTTCATTTGGGACATCTGGTTGCGGTGGACGAGTTGGACTGAAGGGTCTATTTCCGTGCTGTACATCTCTATGATTCTATATCCTAGGACTCTGCTCCCCACTCTGCAACTGGATCCTCGACTTCCTGACCTGCGGACTGCAATCAGTAATGATGGGTTACACATTTCTTCCACAATAATCCTCAACACCGGTGCCCCGCATAGATGTGTACTCAGTTCCTTACTATACACGCATGACTTTATGGCCAAATTCAGCCTTAACTCTATTTACGAATTTGCTTATGATGCCACTGTAGTGGGTTGGATCTTAAACAATGACGAGACAGAGTCCAGGAAAGAGGTAGCGAGCTTAGTGGCATTGTGTAAAGACAACAATTTCTCCCTCAGTGTTAGGAAAATGAAGGAGACGGTCATCGACTTCAGGAAGTGGAGTGGAGGACGTGCCCCTGCCTGTATCAATGGTGCTGAGCTGGAGATGGATGAGAGCTTCAAGCTCCTAGGAATAAATATCGCCAATAATCTGTCCTAGTCCATCCACATTCACGCTACAGTCAAGAAAGCACACCAATGACTCTACTTCCTCAGAAGGCAAAGGAAATTCAGCATGTCCACAGTGACTCTTACTAATTTTTATAGATTCACCATAAAAAGCATCTTATCTGGATGCCTCACAGCTTGGTATGGTAACTGTTCTGCCCAAGACCGCAAGAAGTTAGAGTCCATCACGTAAACCAGCCTTCCTTCCATTGACTCCATCTATACTTCCCGCTGCCTCAGGAAGGCAACCAACATAATCAAAGATCTCTCCCACTCCAGTTATACTCTCTTCTACCATCTTCCATCAGGCAGAAGATATAAAAGTTTAACATGCACCAACAGGCTCAAGAATGGCTTCTTCCCCGCTGCTTCCACACTAATGAATGGACTTTTCATAAATTCACATTGCACCTTCTGCACCTTCTGTGGAACTGTAACACTGTATTTTGTTCTATTATCGTGATGCACTTATGTGAGGTATGATTTGTCTGGATAGCATGCAAAACAATGCTTTTCACTGTATCTCAGTACATGTGAAATAATAAATCAAACCAAACCAACACTACTGACTGAGCTGGTTGTGTTCTCGATGATATAGTTGCTAGACTGGGTCTGTAGCAGATGTTTGTTGGAGTTCCACTCATTAAGGGAAGTGGAAATATACTATCATACGCCTGACTAGTGCCTTTTAGGTGGTGGACAGGCTCTGGGGAGCCAAGAGCTGAGTTACTTGCTGCAAGATTCCTAGCATCTGAGTACTCTTGTAGCCATAGTATTTATGTGGCTAGTTAGTTTATTGGCCAGTTCAGTTTATGGTCAGTTGTGACCCCAGGATGTTGTTGATGGGCTATTTAGCAATAGGAATGCCATTGAATATCAAGGGGATATAATTAGATTCTCTCTTGTTGGAGATGGTTATTATGTGGCACTTGTGTGGCACGAATGTTACTTGCCACTTGCCAGACTAAACATGGATGTTGTGCAGGTCTTGTTACATTTGGACATGGGCTGCTTCAGTATCTGAGGAGTCATGAGTGGTGCTGAACATTGTACAGTCTTCAACGAACATCCCGACTTCTGACCTTTATGATGGAGGGAAGTTAATTAATGAAACAGCATAATATGGTTGGGGACCAAGGTTTAAGTTAAAGGGGGAAAGTTTTTAAAGGAGATGTGAGAGGCAAGTTTTTTTACACAGTGGGAGTTCAGTGCCTGGAATGTGCTGCCAGAGGACGTGGTGGAAGTGGACACAATAGCAATGTTTAATAACCACCTTGATGGATCTATAAATAGATAGGGAATAGAAGATAATGACCCACGTGGAGACAAAAGATTTTTAGGTTGTGTGTTAGCATAGTCTTGGTGAGCCAAAGGACCTGTTTCTGTGCTGCATTTTTCTTTGTTTTTTCTTTTTTGTTAAGTGTAAATTTCTATAACAGAAGTGTATCATGTCTCATACATTATAGCAACCTTGTCATAAAATAACATGTACAAAGATCACTGAAGATGGCAGTTCAGGTAGATAAGGTAGTGAAAAAGGCCTTTGGCATGCTTGCCTTCATTAGAAGGGGCATTAGGTATACGGATAGGCAAGTTATCCTGCAGCTTTATAGAACTTTAGTTAAGCCACACTTGGAACGTTGCATTCAATTCTGATAACTATACTATCAGAAGGATGTGGATGCTTTGGAGAGGGTACAGAAAAGGTTTATAAGGATGTTTCCTGGTATGGGGGATTTTAGCTATGAAGAAAGGTTGGATAGACTGAGTTTGTTTTCACTGAAATGTAGGAGGTTGAGGGGTGACCTGGTAGAAGTTTATAAGCTTTTGAATGGCATTGATAGAGTGGAAAGTATGAGGCCTTTTCCCTCGGTGGAGGGGTCAATTAATAGGGGACACATGTTCAAGGTGTGGGGGGAGGGGGCATGGAGAGGTTAAAGGAAATGTGCGAGGCAATTTTACACGCAAAGGGTGGTGAGTGCCTGGAATGTGCTGCCAGAGGAGGCAGTGGGAGCAGACACAATAGCAGCATCCAAGAAACACCTGGACAAATACATGAAGAGGAAGGGAATAGAGTGATTCGGATTCTGTAAGTGAAGACAGTTTTAGAAGGAAGGGCAAAATGTGTCAGCACAGGGTTGGAGGGCTGAAGGGCCTGTTCGTGTGCTTAATGTTCTTTGTTATTCAAAGCCTTTATCAATTCACTATTATGTTTTTCACTTTGATGATACCTAGTAGCATTTATTTTCTTACAGGTTGCAGAGAGAAAAATGGATGCATGTTGAGGTGGGCAATATAATTAGGATGGAGAATAACCAGTTTGTAACTGTAAGTAACAAATAATACTTTCTCCTTGCCTCCCTTCCTTGTCTTCATGTCATTACTTCAATATTTTGGTGATAGTGAAGGAACTGGCCTTGCAGCCTGGAGCCCTGAATTTCATTCCCGCCACTGCAAATTGAGAAATTGAGTTTTTAAAAATCTGCCGATTTATGGACTGGGAAATATCATGAAAGATGTACTATTTCTGAAATGCTGTTGGGTGATTTTTGTTTATTATGTGGCCATTCTTTTTCCTTTTACTGGGTGCTGAAGTTTCAAAATCTTATTGCCAGTTTATTCCCACATACTCTTCCAAAGCTCTACTTCCAGCTTATAAATTCGAATGATAAGTCGACAAGAAATAGTAGCAGGAATTCATTGAGCCATTTGATACTACTCAATAGCATCTTGGCTGATTTAATTGAATCTTTCACTTCGTTTTCTTCCTTCTTAACCTTTGACTTTCTTGTAGATCTGCCCAACTCCGCCTTGAATATATTCAATGATCCAGCCTCACTGTGGAAGAGAATTTGAATGACCTTATGAGAAAAGAAATTTTTTCTCTTTCAGTTTCAACTGGAAAATTCCTCTTTTGTGTACTGTGTCCACTAGTTTTAGATTTCCCCCAAAAAGGGGAATCATGCTGTCAGTATGTACTATGTTAAAACCTTACATATTCTTTTGATTACCTCTGATTACTCTAAACTCTACATTTTGTTGGGAAAGAGGGTTTCCTGGATTAAAAGCCTCTTTTTGCCTTTTAAAATTACCCTTGTTGCTTTCCTCCCAGACTCAGAGGTTCCACATTGGATTCCATCCAAATGGAAAGCCAGAGGAGAGTGACGTTCTGGTCTGACATTCGTTTCCGGGATTTTCTCAATCTTGAACTCTGGTGCCCATCTCCACCTGCCTGGAAAATTTCTGCCCATTATTTCAGGTTGAGGACATTTGAAAGAGAAAGTGGGGTAGAGAGAATAAAACAAAAGACAAAAGGGGTCATAGTTCAAAGCAAAAGTAATCATATATTCTGCTATATACCATCATCTCTATTTCCTGCCTTCTAGCTTATCACAGACCTTCCATTATGTTTTCCCCACACAATTTTCCTTATTGTATACTTGCTTAAAATCTGTACACCTCTAACTTTTTCCAGTTCCCAGGAAAGGCCATTGATCTGAAATTTAAATTTTGTCACAGATGCTGCCTGGCCTGAGTTTTCAAACAAGCTCTGTTATTCTATCCAAACTAGTTAAGATTGTCAGATAGAGCTAATGAAGGTTGGTTTTGAAAAGATAAGGAAAAGATTCATCCGATAAATCAAGAGATTGAATGGATATGTTCAAGTTCATGATAGAATTGGTTATATTTGGTCCATTAAAACACAGATTTTGTATGTTTTTTCCATTTCATGCTCTGTTAAAACATAAAGCGTAATTGTACTCGTGAAGAATAAATTGTACATATTGTAATGGATGCTTGTATTTCTATTTAGGCAGACTTGCTATTATTAACAAGTAGTGAACCATACGGCCTGACTTACATAGAGACAGCAGAGCTTGATGGGTAAGTCAATTTCAAAGTTAAAAGTCCTTCCTACTATAATGAAGTGTAATTTATTAAGATTTATTTGGTATCAAAGCAATTTATTTCCTGCATACCTTCATGTTTATTTGTAGAAATATAGAATTCTACTGCACTGAAGGAAGTCAGTTCCCTTGAATTAAGAAAGTTGGTTATCTGATCAGGCTGTTTAAAATTGTTGTCTAATTTTATAGGATCTATGCAGAGAAAAGTATTTTTTAAGAATCCAGGACCACAGGGATATCACCTTAAAATTAAAGCTTGGTCTTTTACGAATAAAATGAGGAAACACTTTTTCACCAAAAGTGTAAAAAAAATTGAACTTTGTCTCGCAAAGTCTGTTTGCTGCTGAATCAATTGAGATATTGAAAATGAAGACTTTTTGTTAGGTAAATGTATCAGGACTCTGAAATAAGGGTAAATAATTGTAGTTCAAGTATTGGTCAGACATGATTCAACAAACTGGAGGAATAGGCTTGAGGGACCAAAGGGATACTGCCTGATGTTATGGTCCTTTTGATGCCCTGAACCAGATCTCTGAAAGGGTTACTGATTTAGAACTGTTGCCATTTCATTGATTCTGTACAGCTTTATATGAGTTATTTTTAAATTTTTTTTGTCTTCTCATTTAAAGGCTTATATGAATTTTGGTCAGACTTTCAATGTCCTGTCAACTATCTGCTTCAAAATAAATTGCTTGTAACTTCTTCAATTATTTTGATGCCCTCTGTGCAAAGTTAGAGACAGTCCAACAGTTTGAGATTTTCAGCAGTTTTTCAGGTTGTCACTCTGCGAAGACAGAGGCATCAGGCAATATTTAAGGAAAAATAGTGGTGTTGAATCGGTCAGAGATGGACAGGCTAGAAGAAAGAATGCTCCGAGAAAGGTATTCTCTCCATCAGTCATCTTAGCTCCAGGACATCTCTGCATATGTTCCTTAGGATAATATCCTTGATCTAACCATCTTCAGCTGCTTCATTGAGGATATTTGCTGAAGATTGCACAATGTTTCATTTCATTCATTACTGCTCAGACGACTGAAGCAGTCCATGTCCAATTGCAGCTCAACCTGAATAATATCCAAGTTTGGGCTAACAATTCACAAGTAACATTCACGCTACACAAATGCAAAGCAGTGACCATCTTGAACAAGAAAGGAGCACACGATTGCCCTTTGACATCAAATGGTATTACCATCACCGAATCCCCCACAATCAACATCTTGGAGGTTACCATTGGCCAGAAGCTGAACTGGGCACTGCATAAAGGGCACTGTATAAATACTGTGGCATCAGAACCAGGTCAGAGACTATGATTCCTGCACTGCGTAACTCATTTCCTGAATTCCCCCTAATCCTGACTGTGATTTATAAGGCACAAGTCTGGTATATGGAGAATACACACACGCGCGCACACACATGTCTGGATGGGTGCGGCTTCAATACATAGTGGTCTGATTTGAAGATATCATTCTTAAGCCTGCCACCACACTACAGTTTCACTCTTCTGCTACGAGTTGCAGTGTAAATGACAGCATTTAGATTTGATCTGTCATTAGCATCAAAGGCTAGGTTCCCTGAAAAATAATGTTTATAACATGAAGATAGTCAGCTGAGAACCTAATCAAATTGCTTGATGACATAAAATGGAACTCAGCACTCAGAGGCTATATCCATTGAAATTGGACAGTAATTTACAGATTTTCCCCACTGACAGATTTCGACCTCTGTTTGATTTTTGAAGACCTATCCCGATTCCTGCAATCCTAAAGGTCCCATTCTTTGTTGTCTACTCGTTTGTTTATTCTTTCATAGGATTTTGGACCAAGGCGGTAATTAAGTCAAGAGCTCTGTTGCCCTGGTGGAATCCAAACTGAACATCATTGAGGTTATGCAGTGTAGGTGCTTTCTGTCAGTGCTGTTCATGACGCCTTTCATCATTTTGCTGATGATTTGAATATAGACTGGGGTGGTAATTGGCTGGGTTGGATTACTCCTGCTTTTTGTGAACAAGACATACCTGGACAATTTTACTCATTGCCAGGTAGATGCATCGTTGCAGCATTGGAACAGCTTGGCTAGTGTTGTGACTAGTTCTGGAGTGTAAATTCTTAGTACTCTTGTAGGAATGATGTTAGGGCCCTTAGTCTTTCAGTATCCATTGCCTTCAGATGTTTTTGATTATATGTGGAGTGAATTAAGTTAGGTAAAGACTGTCATTTGTAATCTTGGCAACCTCAGGAGGAAGCAGAGATAGATAATCCACTCAGCCTCTTTGGATGAAGCTTGTTGTAAATGCTTCAACCTCATTTTTTGTACTGGCGTGCTGGCCTCCATTATCATTGAGAATGTGGATATTTGATAAGCTTCCTCCTCCTGTTAGTTGTTCGTTGTTCACCACTGCTCTTGGCTGGATGTGGCAGTCTGCAGAGTTTAGATCTGAACTAGAGATAGTAGGAACTGCAGATGCTGGAGAATCTGAGACAACAAGGTGCAGGGCTGGATGAACACAGCAGGCCAAGCAGCATCATAGGAGCAGAAAGGCTGACGTTTCGGGCCTAGACTCTTCATCAGAAAAGGGGGAGGGGGAGGGGAAGGGGGTTCTGAAATAAATAGGGAGAGAGTGGGAGGCGGATAGAAGATGGATAGGGGAGAGGATAGGTGGAGAGGAAACAAACAGGTCGAAGAGGCGGGGATGGATCCAGTAAAGGTGAGTGTAGGTGGGGAGTTAGGGAGGAGATAGGTCAGTCCAGGGAGGACGGACAGGTCAAGGGGGCGGGATGAGGTTAGTAGGTAGGAGATGGGGGTGCGGCTTGAGGTGGGAGGAGGGGATAGGTGGGAGGAAGAACAGGTTAGGGAGGCGGGGACGAGCTGGACTGGTTTTGGGATGCGGTAGGGGGAGGGGAGATTTTGAAGCTTGTGAAATCCACATTGATACCATTGGGCTGCAGGGTTCCCAAGTGGAATATGAGTTGCTGTTCCTGCAACCTTCGGGTGGCATCGTTGTGGCACTGTAGGAGGCCCAGGATGGACATGTCGTCTGAGGAATGGGAGGGAGAGTTGAAATGGTTCGCAACTGGGAGGTGCAGTTGTTTATTGCGAACCGAGCGTAGGTGTTCTGCAAAGCCGTCCCCGAGCCTCCGCTTGGTTTCCCCGATGTAGAGGAAGCCACATCGGGTACAGTGGATGCAGAATACCACATTGGCAGATGTGCAGGTGAACATCTGCTTGATGTGGAAAGTCTTCTTGGGGCCTGGGATGGGGGTGAGGGAGGAGGTATGGAGGCAGGTGTAGCACTTCCTGCGGTTGCAGGGAAAAGTGCCGGGTGTGGTGGGGCTGGAGGGGAGTGTGGAGCGGACAAGGGAGTCACGGAGAGAGTGGTCCCTCCGGAAAGCAGATAAGGGTGGGGAGGGAAAGATGTCTTTGGTGGTGGGATCGGATTGCAGATGGCGGAAGTGTCACCTATCCCCTCCCTAAATCCCCACCTACACTCACCTTTACTGGCTCCATCCCCGCCTCTTCGACCTGTTTGTTTCCTCTCCACCTATCCTCTCCTCTATCCATCTTCTATCCGCCTCCCACCCTCTCCCTATTTATTTCAGAACCCCCTTCCCCTCCCCCTTTTCTGATGAAGGGTCTAGGCCCGAAACGTCAGCCTTTCTGCTCCTATGATGCTGCTTGGCCTGCTGTGTTCATCCAGCCCTGCACCTTGTTGTCTCTTTAGATCTGAACTGTTTGTTTTAGGATTGCTCAGCTCTATCACATGTACTTGGCATGCAAGTTGTCCTATGTGCTAACTTCACCAGGTTGACACATTGTTTTTAGCCTGTCTGGTGCTGTTCCATGTATGCCATGCTTTACTTTTTGTTGAGTCAAGGTTGATTCCCTGACTTGTTGCTAGATCTTTTCAAAATCTCTCCCATTTAGCACGCTGGTAGTGCCATACTTCCACCCAAAATACATTCTGTGTCCTTGCCGCTCTGCATGCTTCTTCCAACGGATGTTCATCAGTTGAAGGGAAGGGATTGCAGTAGGTATCAGCAGGACGTCCTCCAACCTGCTGTCATAACTTTATTTTCTATGTGTCTGTGGGGCTTCTGTTATTTTCCTGTACTGTTCATTGCAACACACCACAGTAAGTGTCATTTAGGCTGTTCTCCTTGTGTGAATTTCTGGTTGTGCAGTTTTTTTGCCAAAAATACTGAAATGTAAAGCACAACTATTCTGTCTGTTTTATGAATTTTGTGAATGTTAATTTAATTTTTGTAGGGAAACAAATCTGAAGGTTAAGCAGGCATTAACCGTGACATCAGACATGGGTGACCACACACAGGATTTGGCATCTTTTGATGGTATGTTGATTTTTATTACAAAATTCTTTGTCATTAGTTTTAAAAAGTACATTTCTAGCATCCACAGTTCTTTGTTTTATTTCTCATAACACAAACATTGACTTTAGGTGAATGCTACAGTTACACTTAATAATCTGAAGACTGAAGAATTTATCAAGGATATCTTATGGATTCCAAATTTCTGAGAAAATTATTCACCATATAATCCCTGAATCGAAGGGTGCAGAGGTTTATTTTAAATACTTTCTTTGTATTTTACAGTAATTTAGATCTGAGCCAATCAAGGATTTCAACATTTCCAACAATTATTTTTACTGATAATAAATACTATTTACATTTAGAGATGCTTACAACCTTGTCTATAACTCAAACTTCAGAATGTTCACATTCTCTGCTCATATGCCTCGTATCATTCTTTTTGGAAAAGGTAAGCTCCCTGTCTTTCAATGAACCAAATAAATCGATGCAACAACTTCTTCAATGTTAGAAGCCACAAGTCCCATTAGCATTTCAAAATGACCTTTTCAGTGCATGCACAGTTTGATTCGCACTTCAGGATGCAACGTGGTCACCACTCTGAGCTGCCTTTATCTATGTTTGATCTGATACCATGAAATTCCGTGGGGTCTGGAGGGAATGTTGAGCACTCCTAGGACAATTCCGTCTTGACTGTATATCACTGTGCTGCTATCTTTGTCCTGTTGGTGGGAGAGGACATAACTCGGGATGATGGCTTTTGTGTCTTGGACATTTTTGTTAGGTATGATTCTGTGAGAATGACTGTCAGGCCATTGATTGTTTTTCCTATTTTGGCACAAAACCCCAGACCTTAACAAAGAAAACGTTGAGAGTCAATGTGGCTTTGTGTACTGTTGTCATTCTGATACCTTGTTCGATGGCAAATGGTCAGTCTGGTTTCATCTTTTTTTGAAACTTTGTCACATTTCAATACAACTGAATGGCCTAGCATGTCATTTCAGAGGCATTTAAGAGTCCAGAACATTCGTGTGGATCTGGACCCCCATGTAGGCCAGGTCAGGTCAGGATGACAGATTTTCTCTCCCTGAAGGAATTGAATAACCTCGACAGGTTTGTACACCACTCAACCATGACTTTTGATAATCATTAGACTAGCTTTTAATTACAGATTTATTATTTGAATTTAGATATTACCACCTGCTATGGTGGGATTACAAACCCATGTCCCTGGATCGTTATTAATCCAGGGATAATACTGCTGCACGACTGTAGTATGGTACAATACTGTACAATGACAATGCTGTACCATAACAATACTGTACCACTTCCCTGTTAATGAATTGGTTGTTAAATTACATGGCTAAACTGATAAAAAGTCTCCTAATTTGAAGACAAGAGAAGAATACTGCTCAGGTAATGTAGATTATGGATATAAAAACAGCACCTCTTTCCTCTTTTCCATCAAATTTTCATTTGTATTAAATAACAGTGTGGAGCTGGAGGAACACAGCAGGCCTGGCAGCATTAGAGGAGCATGAAAGCTGACGTTTTGGGTCGGGACCCTTCTTCAGAAAAAAAAATTGTATTAAGTTGCAATTTAACATTTTTTTCTCTTTACATTCAAGCTTCATTGTCACACTCGGTGCTCCTGCTCTGTGGAGTAGTGAAACCTATTTGCACTTAGACCCATTCTCACTCTCAATCTGCTGCTCCTAACATATGAACATATGAGTCAGGAGAAGGACTAGGCCATTCAGTTCCTTGAGTCTGTTCTGCCATTCAGTAAGATCATGGCTGATCTGATTGTAACCTCAAATCCACATTTTGGCCTATCCTGATAATGTTTTAACATCTTGCTTAAAGAACCTATGTCTCCCTGAAAAATACTCAAGGACTCTGCTTCCGCCACCTTTTTTGGGAGAGTTCCACCAGCCTCTGAGAGAGGAAAAAACACATAAAGCCTGTTTTAAATGGGTGATGCCTGATTTTTAAACAGTTACCCAAGTTCTGGATTTTCTATAAGTGGAAACATCATCTCCATATTTACCTTCTCAAGATTCTTCAGGATCTTATATGTTTTAATAAAGTTGTCTCTTACTGTTCTGAACTCCAGCAACTAAAAGCCCAATATGTCCAGCCTTTCCTCATAAGATGGGCTGTCCATTATGCGTATTAATCAAGTAAACCTTCTTTGAATTGCTTCCAATGGATTTATATCCTCCCTTAAATAAGGTGACCAATACTGTGCATAGTACTGCAGCTGTTTCTCAACAGTGGCTTGTATAACTGAAGCATAACCTCTCTACTTTTGTATTCAATTCCCCACGTAATAACATACTATATTTGTATTATCAATACACATGAATGAGGTGCTGGAACACTGAGGTTGGCTAATGCAGTGCCATCATTTAAGAAAGGTGGTAAAGAAAAGCCAGGATTGATTAAGAAGAGTCAAAATGTCTTTCCCACAAGCGTGAGAAATCGTGTCTTATTAACTTGATTGAGCTTTTTGAAGAAGTGATAGAGAAAACTGATGAAGACAGATTGATGGTTGTTGTCTACATGGACTTCAGCAAGGTGTTTGACAAAGTTCTGCATGGTATTCTGGTGAGCAAAGGTTAGATCACAAGGAATCCAGGGAAAACTAGCCATTTGGATATAAAATTGTGAATATAGAAAGAATGGTTAGTAAGTTTGAAGATGACACCAAAATTGATGGTGTAGTGGACAGTGAAGAAGATCATCGTAGAGTACAATGGGACCTTGGTCAGATGGGCCGATGGGCCAGGGAGTGGCAGATGGAGTTTAATCTGGATAAATGTGAGGTGTTGCATTTTGGTAAGGCAAATCAGGGTATGACTTATACACTTAAGGTTGGGGCCTGGGGAGTGTTGCTGAACAAAGAGACCTTGGGATGCAGGTTCCAAGTTCCTTGAAGGTGGAGTCACAGGTTGACAGGGTAGTGAAAAAGGCATTCAGAATGCTTGCCTTCATTGGTCAGTGCATTGAGTATAGTATTGGGATGTCATGTTGTGGCTGTACAGAACATTGGTTAGGCCACTTTTGGAATACTGCATTCAGTTCTGATCTCCCTGCTATAAGAAAGGTGTTGTGTTTACTTGAAAGGGTACAGAAAAGATTTACAAGGATGTTGCCGGGGTTGGAGGGTTTAAGCTATAGGGAGTGGCTGACTAGGCTGAGACTGTTTTCCTTGGAGCATTGGAGGCTGAGGGGTTACCTTATAGAGGTTTATAAAATCATGGATAGGGTGATCAGCCAAGTTCTTTTTCCCAGGATAGGAGATTCCAAAACTAGAGGGCAAAGGTTTAAGGTGAGGGGGGAAAGATATAAAAGGGACCCAAGCGGCAACTTTTTTTATGCAGAGGGTGGTGAGTGTATGGAATAAGCTACCAGAAGAAGTGGTGGAGGCTAGCACAATTACAACATTTAAAAGGCATCTGTATGGGTACATGAATAGGAACGATGTAAAAAGTTATGGTTCAAATGCTGGCAAATTGATTAATTTAGGACATCTGGTCAGCATGGATGAGTTGGACTAAAGGTTCTGTTTCCATGCTATGCAACTCTTTAACTCTATGAATCTTTCCTAATTACTGGCTGTACCTGCATACTAATATTTTGCGATTTATACATAAAGACACCCAGATCTCAGCAGTCTCTCTCACCTCATCTCTGGAAGTTAGTTTTTTGTCTCTTGTTGGACCAAGGCCTTAATGAGGTCAGGAGCTGAGTGTCACTGGTGGAAGCAAACTGAGCCTCTGTGAACAGGTTACTGCTAGGAAAGTGTTGCTTGATAGCAATGGAATAGATAAGTGTGAGTAGCAGAGTGCAGTGTATTACACTGACACTGGTGGAGTGGAGAAGGTCATTGAACTTTTTGCATCAGTGCTTCCAAGTTCTTCTTACCTTGAAGATGGCACTGACATGGGTGACGATCTTAGACCAGGCTATCATGGTGTGGTGGTGTGGTCTCCTCTGCCGGTCCTCTGGAAAGAGAAGTCCTCTTGTCTTGCAAGGGCCTGTAGGCCACCTCTCAGAGAAATGTGGTGCCAGTCTACCCTTTTCTGCCATCTTTCCTGATTCCCAACACAGATGATCAGGTCAACTTCCAACTGGCAGCACTGCTGCAGTGGACTTTGAAAGATGGCACGGTCCCAATAGTTGCTGGTCTTATGAAGGACCCCACTGAGCAGTGAGTTCCTCCATGAATGGTGAATGGAAGATGGGCTGGCAGTAGGTCATGATTCTTATTGCTGCTCACACTTAACCATAAAATGGTAAAATTCGCCCCTTATTTCTGGAAATTTTCGAACAATTAAAGTTAAATTGATTGATGTTGTTACTTAGCTTATCCTCACGCCCTGTTTTGAGCAAGGGTGTAGCGGGTTCAATACTCTCGTCCTTTGAGATTACCTCAGAGTCTAAGGAGGACTCAGTAATTATGTTCAGTGCATCGTTATATTTTCAACTCTCACTTCCCTCAGTATACTTGAATGCATCTCATCTGACCTCAGTGTCTTGTCAACTGTTAAGTACAACCTATCCAATATCTCCTTTTCAACTGTAACACCTTCTAGCAACTATATTTCCTCCCCTCTCACCAAAGCTTTGGTTGCATCCTTCTCTTTGATAAAGATAGGTGCAAGGTCTTTATTCAGTACTTCAGCAATGTCCTCTGCATCCATGAAAAAAAGAGATTGAAGAACAGAAAGTCCTGGCTAATCAAAAAGGTCTTCTCAGCGAACTCTGTGACCTGTTGCTATGGAACTGTGCTTCCCAGGTTTTAATTTTCTTTCACCTTTTTGTTAATATACATCCGTCTGCGTGTAAGGCTTTTAGAAAGACATTAGAGTTTTAACTAGTAGAGCCATATGTTGATAGTTTGTAGCTTTTTACGTATGATAGGAACTAACTTACTTGTAATAAGTAGCAGTTTGTGTTCAATCAGGAAGCTAGACTGTGTGTTCTGTTAATTTGATTCCAGGAGGATGGTTAACTCGGGACTTTGACCCTGAAATTAGTGAGGATTGTGAATCCGTGCACTTTCCAAGTGGGTCATAACAATGCTTATGGAAAACTTTGGAATTCCCATTTATGTAAACTGACACGCCTGCCACTGTTTCATACTGTCTTTTTGCCTCTCTTCTTTATTCCCCATAGCTTACTTTCAAAGATTCAGGCCCAGATTTCCAGGGAGTTGCGGAAAATGAAAATAATTATCACCTGGAGCCTGCATTCGGAAGTGATTTAGTAGATATGGTAGGATCCATTAAGGAGAAAAGTGGGCTCTGATTTGGACATGGGGAACCTGAACTCAGCAGGGCCTTTTTTCAGTGCTGAATTCAAACTGACCCTATTTTCTCTGGAGCAGTTAGTCTGCAGTTAGTGAGTGCTAAACTTTTAGATTATATTTAAATGCTTATGAAAGGCAGAATAGTATGTACAACTGTCATACTATCAAGATATTTAAATGTCCTGATGTTTAAAAATTGAGAATACAGCCTGCCTATGTCTATGAGCTGAAAATAAACTGTTTTGCAGTTTCACTAACTGTTGATTTGAAGGGGAAACTAGTAGGGAAGAAGATGGAGCAGCATTGGCAGGAATTTCTGGGGGCGTAATTCAGGCAGCACAGCAGAAATTCAACCCAAGGAAGAAGAAACATACCCAGAGGAGGACGAGACAACCAAAGCTGACAAGGGAAGTCAGGGACAGCATAAAAGCAAAAGAAAAAGCACACAATGTGTTGAAGATTAGTGGGAAGCCAGAGGATTTGGAAGCCTTTAAAATCTAGCAGAGGACAAATAAGAAAACAGTAAGCAGGGAAAATATGAAATATGAGGGCAAGCTAGCTAGTAAATAAAAGAAGATTGCACGAATATTTTTCAGATGTATAAAAGGTATGAGAGAGGCAAGAGTGGGCACTGAACTGCTGGAAAATGAAGCTGGAGAAATAGTAATGGACAACAAAGAAATGGCAGAGGAACTGAATAGATGCTTTGCATCTGTCTTCATGGTGGAAGACATCAATAGCATGCCAGAACTTCAAGAGAGTCAGGGGGCAGAGATGAGTGTAGGTGCCATCACTAAGGGAAAGCTGAAAAGTCTGAAGGCGGATAAATCACTGGATGGGCTACCCCAGGGTTCTGAAGGAGATAGCTGATAACTGAGGAGATTGTGAAAGCATTGGTGATGATCCTTCAGGAATCACTGGAGTTAAGGGAGGTTTCCAGAGGACTAAAAAATGACTAATATAACACTCCTGTTTAAGAAGGAGAGAGTCAGAACATGAGCAATTTTAGGCTAGTTAGCCTGACCTCAGTCGTTCGTAAGATTTTAGATTAGAGTATTATTAAGGATGAGATTGTGGAGTACTTGGAAGGGCATGGTAAAATAGGGCTGAATCAGCACAGTTTTGTCAAGGAGAGGTAATTCCTGACAAATCTGTTAGATTCTTTGAGGAGCTAACAAGTAAATTAGACAAATGAGAACCAGTAGATGTGATCTTTTTGGATTCCCAGAAGGCCTTTGACAAGGCTGTGCAGTACGCTGCTAAGTCAGATAAAAGCCCATGGTGTTAGGGGTACGTTACTGGCATGGATGGAGAATTTACTGACTGGCAGAAGGCAGAGATTGGGTAAAAAGAGGTCTTTTTCAGAATGGCAGCCCATGAATAATGGACTTTCCGCAGGGGTTAGTGTTCGGACCACAACTATGCCTTAACAATCTGGATGAAGGAACTGAGGGTATTGTTGCTAAGTTTACAGATGAGACAAGGATAGGTGGAGGGACAGGCAGTGTTGAGAATGCGTGGATGCTGCAGAAGGACTTGGACAGGCTCAGAGAATGGTCAAAGAACTGGCAGATGGAATACAATGTGGGAAAGTGTGAGGTCATGCACTTTGGTAGGAAAAATTAGAGGTGTAACCTACTTTCTAAATGGAGAAAGCCTTCAGAAATCTGAAGCACTTTGGCACGTAGGAGTCCTCATTCAAGATTCTCTGAAGGTTAACTTGCAGGTTTACTTGGCAGTGAGGAAGACCAATGCAATATTAGCATTCATTTCAAGAGGATAGGGTAAATGAGCAGGGATGTGCAGCAAACTTTGTTTTAACTCGTACCTTATCAGCGTGCATTTGATAAACCAGCAAAAATGGTTAACCTCAAATCCTCAAATACTGTGATATAGTACAATATCTGAGTATTTATGCTGTAAATAAAGTATAACAGTGATGTGCATACCTGTTTCTTGAGTTTTCACATTGATTTTGGGAGGTGTGTTGATGTATTTACACAGATTTTTTGAGGGATTTCAATGTCCCAAAACTTTGCTTGGTCAAAGTTTACTGCAGTTACCTTTTGATTATCTGGAATATTTGATCAACTGACCACCTTGGTCTCATAGGTGCCAGTCAGTTAATAAAAAGTTTGCTGTACTGCTGAGGCTGTACAAAGGTCTGGTCAGACCACATTTGGAATATTGTGTGCAATTTTGGGCCCTGTACCTAGGGAAGGAGGTGCTGACCTTGGAAGGGGTCCAAAGTAGGTTCAGAAGGATGATCCCACGGATGAAGGGCTTGACATATGAGCAGCGTTGGGGACGCTAGGTCTGTACTCAATGGTGTTTAGAAGGATGGGGGAACAGGATTGCATTGCAACTTATGAAATACAGAGAGGCCTGGATAGAGTGGACATGGAGTTGATGTTTTCAGGAGTAGGGGAGACTAGGACCCGAGAACATAGCCTCCAAGTGAATGGTCGATCTTTTAGACCTGAGATAAGGAGGAATTTCTTTGGCCAGAGGGTGGTAAATTGAGGAACACATTGCTACAGAAGGCTGTGGAGGCCATGTCATTTGAGTATCTTTAAGACAGAGATAGATGATTAGAAAGGGGATCAGTGGTTATGGGGAGAAGGCAGGAAAATGAGCTTGAGAAACATTTCAGCCATTTTTGAATGACGGAGCACACTTGATGGGCTGAATGACCTAATTCTGCACCCATATTGTGGTTTTATAACTCTGTGCTTTCAGGAAACCACTAATACTGCTTAACTACTTCCATAACCCATATATTCACATCAGTGGATAGTAAATTCACAGTTTAACTGAGAGCTCAATCAGCTAAAGGTTTGGCTTGTATTTGATGTAGCATTATAAACACAACTATTTGTTGTACGATGATTAAATATATGAGGTACATTTAATACATTGGAAGTGATTTTGTTAATGGTAGAGTATTTCGATATAATTTAATCAGTAATAGTTATTTTGACCAAAAACAAAGTTGCTGGAAAAGCTCAGCAAGTCTGGCAACATTTGTGAAGGAAAAAACAGAGTTAAGGTTTTGGGTCCGGTGACCCTTCCTCAGAACTGATGGTGGCTGGGAAAATGTCAGTTTTTTCCTTCACAGATGCTGCCAGACTTGCTGAGCTTTTCCAGCAACTTTGTTTTTGCTCCTGATTTACAGCATCTGCAGTTCTTTCGGTTTTTATATAGTTATTTTGACCTTTATTTCATCTTAGCAGGCTCTTGAGGTTTGCCTGTGGGTACAAGAGAAATGGATGATGGATTGGGACAAAAAGAGAGAGTATAATTTGTTGCCAAGTTTATGTAAGAGTTTTAAGGGGGCATGACTAGGGCATGGGTGGTGGATAAGGCGTCTGTGGGGTGATCTTTAAGAAAACAACAAGTGAATCTTTTGGCTAATCTGCTTCAACACTCGTCAGTCTCTGTGGCTACCTCTGATCTGCATCCAGAGATGGTAGGCCTGATTCCATCCTGTACCTGCCTACACCCAGAATTAAGATTCTGTCAATCAAGGCATTTTTTTTTCTGATGTGGGTGTGCTAAACCTTAACTGTGTTCTTGCCTCAGAGGAAAGATTCTGGTCTCAAAATCGAAATGGTTTGGACAGATCAGTTGGGGAGCAGCTCTGATATATCATTAAAGTAAAATAAAGAACTGCGGATGTTGGAAATCTCAAACAAAAACAGAAATTGTTGGAGAAACTTAACAGTCTAGCAGCTTCTGTTGAGAGAAAATGGTTAATATTTTGAGTCCAGTGATACTTCTTCACAGCTCAGACCAGCTGAATTTCTCCAGTAGTTTTTGCGTTTGTTTCTGACATTTCATTACAGTCTTCACTTCTCATGCCTTAAATTTCGTTATCTTTCTGTAAATTTATTTTTGTCCGATAAGTAAGACCAGGAAGCAAGTGTATTTGATTCTGTTCATTCATATTAATAAAGATTCCTAATTGCATTTGCCAATCTGAAAAGTTGTGAAACCTTTTATTGTCTTGATATCTCTTAAGCCAAGCATGTTTAACATTTTAGTCGAAGGAATGATGTAACCACTTATGTTGAAGACAAAAAGAATGAGATTCTCCTTATAGAGTGAGTTATGTCCCATTCTTCACAGGATCCTCAAATTTTGTTTCATCCTGCCCAATTCTGAGTCCATCTTGCCCAAAATTATGCTTTGACATGATGATGAGATTATCTAGAAAACATTTACTTATATGTTCTTCCTTTTCTATCCTAGGTGAGGTTAGATGTGAAGCACCCAATAATAGGCTGGATAAATTTAAAGGAACACTTACCTACAAAGGAAACAAGTATCCATTAGATAATGAAAAAATACTATTACGTGGGTGCACTTTGAGGAATACGGAATGGTGTTATGGACTTGTCATCTTTGCAGGTAGGTGAAACGCAAGAGGGTATGATTAGTAAGTGACCTCATAACGAATTGGACAATGTAATTCTGAAAATGCCTCTAACCTTGTATGAGCATACCTAAATTCTCCCAATTTACATCTATCAAAAGCCTATATAATTTTTCACTTAATTGATTCTCCCCCTAATGTGCTCTGCGCTGCAGGAAACAATTTCTGCTTCCCTTGACTCTCTAATTAACTGAATATTCTCGACTCCATGCCTGGTAATATTCTAGTTAATGTCCTGCATCCTGTCCACATCCTTCCTTAAGTGGATGCCCTGAACTGTACACACAACCTGCAGCTGGAGAATTGAATATTGCAAATGGAGAAAAGCAGCAGAAAGCTGCAACACAGAGGGACTTGGGGCAACCTGTGCATGAAACGCAGAAAGCTAACACACAGGTGCAGCAGGTATTTAAGGGAATAATGGAATATAGGTAAAATAGTAAATGAAAAGTGAAAGAACCGCAGATGCTGTAAATCAGGAGCAAAAACAGAAGTTGTTGGAAAAGCTCAGCAGGTCTGGCAGCATCTGTGAAGGAGAAAACAGAGTTAACATTTCAGGCCCAGTGACCCTTCTCCAGAACTCTTCAGTGTGTCTAATGGAATATAGGCACTTATTTCAAGTCGATTGGAGTATTAGAGTAGGGAAGTCTTTGTGCAATTGTACAAGGTACTGGTGAGATCATACCTGGAGTATTGAGCAGTTTTGGTCCCCATACTTAAGGAAAGATATTGTTTCATTGAGACAGTTCAGAGACGTTTGACTAGGATGATCCTTTTGCTAAAGTTCCACAGAAGAGACTGCTAGCCAGGTTAGAAGCTCATGGAAGTGAGGGTAGATTACAAATATGGATAGGAAACTGGTTGAGTGGCAGGAAACAGAGAGCTGGAATACTGGCTAAGTACTTAAAGTGGCAGGACATGACTAGTGGTGTCCTATAGGGATCTGTGTTGGAACTGCAATTATTCATAATATTCATTAGCGATTTTGATAATGGCATAAGAAAAATCAAATATCTAAATTTGCTGATGACACAAAATTGGGCAGCATTGTAGACAATGTGAATGAATGATGATTTACTGTAACTTCTACTCTACAATGAATAACATTGTAAAACAAAATGAAAAGCTTCAACTGTCACTATGATCTGGTGCCATTTGAATAATTCAAGAATAAAAAGACAAAACTGAAGATGGTGCCGGAATAGGATGCTCCAGCCGGAGCTCCTCTGCTCTGCCCATTGTTACTTTTTGTTCTGGAGTCTTTTTTTCAAACTTTTAACTTTAAAGTCGGACGGGAATTGGGGAGGTGACTCCCGGACCAGAGACCGTTGCAGTTGTGTGCCAGATCAGGCTGATGTGGGAAATGAGTCCTGGAGTCGAGTCCCAGACTGGAGACTGATGTAGGGAGGCCGGTGTGGAAGATGCATTCCAGACTGGATGCTGGTGTGGGAGGGGAGTCCCAGATCGGAGTTCGACGCAGGGAGGCGAATCCTGACCAGAGGCCGGTGTGTGTTTGGTGGGAGGGTTGGTCAAGTCCTGGACTGGAGGCCATTGCGGGGAGGCAAGTCCCAGACTGTCACACGGAAGCATGGCCTGTACAGACTGGAGGCAAGACTTTGAGTTTTGAAGCCTGGTGTGGTCTGGAGACTTGGCCCAGTACAGTCTAAAGTCTAGGTGCTGGCATGGACTTTTGTGAAAAGGACTGCAATTCAAGTATTTTTCCGTTTTATTCTTATGCTGGACATTTATTTATTATTCTTTCAATCTTGTACCTAATACTTAAATAACTGTACCTAGGTATCTTGTACCCAAGACAGTGCCATAAGTGGCAACATTGCAAACTTTTCACTGCACTCAGCAGCAGAGTGAAGCCCAACTTCACTCTGCCACCTCTATCATGAGTCCTGAGCCCTGACCAGCAATACCCATGCTGCCACCTGCACCAGACCCACCAACATCAGAATTGCCACTCTCCAGGTTCCATCTCTTCATCGCTGGGCCCATCCTGCCAATGGGCCACCAATGCTGGGTCTCTTGCTGTACCCACATTCATCCTGCAACCATAACCCCTGGCTTCGCTGCCTCCACTGCCTCGCAGACAACCAGAAGACGCCCGCACTGGGCCTACCACAACCATGAGTCGCTGCCACTGCCATGCCAGTAATCAGGAGTGTCCACTTCAGGCCTACCACAACAAGGAGTCCCTGGCTCCGCTGCCACCACCGCCTTGCTGATGCTTGGAGTCTCTGCCACGGGCATACCACACCGCTGTCGCTTCAGGCACCTCCTCGCCGACGCCTGGATTTCCCTCTCTGGGCCCACCACATCAGGAGACCCTGGCTCCACCACCAGCCCAGCTGCCGTGTCATCAAGAGTCCTGCTCCAGCTGCTCTTCTCTGCGATGACACCCTTCCCCTTGCTTCAGATAAGCAAATGTGAGATTATCCATTTCGGACTGAAAAAGAATAGATAAAGGATTTTTTTCAGAAGGTCCATAGTTAAATACAGTGGATGTCTAACGAGATTTGGGGGTCCAGGTATATAGTTCTTTAAAATGCCACAAACATGTGCAGAAAATAGTCAAGAAGTTTAATGAAATGGTGCTGTTCATGTCTAAACCTTTAATACAAGGCATGATGGGTGTCAGAATAGGCTCCTAAGCCAGAATCTGTCTGCTCCATTCGTTTCTTTTCTTCTTTCTTTTCTTTTTCTTCTTTTTTCTCTGTACATACCTCCATTCTTTGGACAGCATCAGAGGTGGAGAGTTGAGCTGGCACAGACTCGAGGGACCCCCTGGCCTTGTGGATGCTCAGCGCAGAACTCGAACGACTCCCATCTTTGAGAAAGCCCAGCATGGATTCCCTGCTTTAGAAGGACTGTAATGCTGAACTTTTATCTTTATTTGTTTATTTTTCTAATTTATACCTAAGGTTTTGTACCTGGGTATCTTTGTACCTAAGATGGTGCTGGAAATGGTGACTTTGTACACTTTTCACTCTACTTTGATTTGATTTATTATTGTCACATGTTTCTAAGTAGTGAAAAGTTTTGTTTTGTGTGTAGTACTGACAGATCATAATGTCCAAAAATTATAGGGTGATTGAACAGAGCGAGGAATACAAAGTTACGGCTGCAAAGAAAATGCACAAAAAACAGGATCAATATTAGATTTGAAATTTGAGAGGTCCTTTCAGAAGTCTAATAACAGCAGGGAAGAAGCTGTTCTTGAACCAGTTGCTACATGTAGATAAGCTTTTATATCTTCTGCCTGACAGAAAAGATTATAACCAGCATGGGAGTGGTCTTTGATGATGTTGGCTGTCTTTCCGAAGCATTAAGAGGTGAAGATGGAGTCAATGGATGAAAGTTTGGATTGTGTGATGGTCTGGGCTGTGTTCACAATTTTTCTGCAGTTTCTTACGGTCCAGGGCAGAGCAGTTGCTGTACCAAGCCATGATGCATCCAAATAGAATGCTTTCTATGGTGCATCTATAAAAGTGAGTGAAAGTCCTTATGGACATGCCGAATTTCCTTAGCCTGCTGAGGAAGGAGAGGTGTTGTTCTGCCTTCTTGATGTTAGCGTCAACGTGGGTGGTCCAGGATAGTTTGTAGGCGTTCATCACTCCCCTAGGAACCTGATGCTCTCGATCATCTCTGTTTCAGCTCCATTGATGTAGATAGAGGCGTGACCTCCACCTTGCTTCCTGAAGTCGATGATCAGCTCTTTAGTTTTGCTGACATTGAGGGAGAGATTGTACTTGAGTACATGTGACAATAAATGGGGCGGCACGGTGGCTCAGTGGTTAGCGCTGCTGCCTCACAGCGCTAGGGACCCAATTTTGATTCCAGTCTCGAGCGGATGTCTGTAGGTTTCCTCCGGGTGCACCAGTTTCCTCCCACCATCCAAAGATGTGCGGGGTAGGTGGATTAGCCATGGTAAATTGCCTCATAGTGTCCAGGGATGTGCAGGCCAGGTGGGTTAGCCATGGGAACATGCTGGAGTATACGGATGCAGATGTTATGCTGCAGTTATACAAAACTCTAGTTAGACCCCACTAGAATACTGTGAGCAGATCTAAGCACGACAACTTACCACAGGGAGGCAAATACCTAGTGGTATTGTCACTGGACTGTTAACCCAGAGACCCAGATAATGTTCTGGGGACCTGGGTTCAAATCCTGCCACAACGGATAGTGGAATTTGAATACAATAAATATCTGGAATTATGAGTCTAATGATGACCATGAATCCAGTGTCGATTGTCAGGAAAAAAAACCCTGGTTCACTAATGGCCTTTAGGGAAGGAAGCTGCTATCCTTACCTAGTCTGGCCTACATGTGACTGCAGACCCACAGCAATGTGGTTGACTGTTAACTGCTCTCTGGGCAATTAGGGATGGGCAATAAATGCTGCCTAGCCAGTGACGCCCTCGTCCCATGAAGGAATACGAAAGATGTTTTGGCCCTGGAGGGAGTTCAGTGCAGGTTTACATAGATGATACCTGGACATAAGAGGTTAAGTTATGAGGGGAGAGTTGATAAATTAGGCCTTTATTCTCCAGAATTTAGAAGGTTAAGGGGTGATCTAATCAAGTTCTTCAGGATATTAACAGGGAAAGACAGGGTAGATAAACTAATTCTACTGATTGAAGATTGTAGAACTGGGGACATAAGAATTAGGGCCAGGCCATTCAGGAAAGATGTTAGAAAACACTTCTACATGGACAGATTAGGGAAGTTTGGAACTCTTCCTCAGTTGATGGTGAATGCTAATTCAGTTGTTAAATTTAAATCTGAGACAATTTTGTATAAGCAAGGGTATCGAGGGATATGCCATGATCTTATTGAATGGTGGAGCAGGCTCAAGGGACTGAAATACCTACTCCCATTCCCATATCCCTACAAGTTTAGAAAAATGAGAGGTAATCTCATTTAAGCATAAAGGATTCGTAAGGGGCTTGACAGGGTAAATGCTGAGAGGTTATTTTCCATCAAGGAGAGTCAAGGACCAAAGGGCATAGTCTCAGACCAAAGGAGTACCAATTTAAGACTGAGATGAGGAAGAATTTCTTCACTTAGATCGTCATGAGTCGATGGAACACCTTGCTGCACAGCACTCCAGGGGCAGAGTCCTAGTGTATATTTAAGACTGAGATAGATGGATCCTTGATCAGTAGGGGAATCCAGGGATATGGAGAAAAGGCAAGAAAATGAGCAAGAGGAATATCAGATCAGCCATGTTCCTGTTTAATTGTGGAGCAGGTTTGAAGGGCTAAATGGCCTACCCATTGCCTTATTTTTTATGGCCTTATGGTTTTACGGTCTTAGCTGAGGCCTAACAACTAATTTGTACAGGTTTATCATATTTTCCTTAATATCTCCCTTTTTTTCACATTCTCTGCATCCTATAAAGCTAAGAATTCTGTAATTTATTTTTAACTGTAAAGTCAATGAACCATTCTGAACTTAGTATTTCTTACATATAATTTATCAACATTTATTTCAAGGGCAAGACACAAAACTAATGCAGAATAGTGGATTATCAGCTTTTAAGCGAACTAATATAGATCGACTGATGAATATTCTCGTTTTGTGGGTAAGTGCATGTTATAAGTCCATTAACTTTCTTCAGGCTCAATTGATATCATATACACAATCTGTGATGGGGTGTATTGCGAAGTTTGCAACAAATCTTTTGAATGGAACCAACTAAGTGGTCAAATGCAGCCTTGATGCCAAGAACAATAATTCACCTCACCTCTGGAACTCAGCTTTTCTTTCCCTATTCGATCTAAGGCTGTAAAAAGGTCAGGAGTTGAGTAGCCTCGGACATCAGTGACCAGGTTATTGCAAAGCAAATACTGCTTGATAGCAATGCTACTCACACCATCTATCACTTTTACTATGATTGAGATTAGAATGATGAGGTGGTAATAGCCTGGGTTGGATTTCTTCAGGTTTTTGTCTACAGAATTAACTGAGCAGTTTTCCACATTGCTGGTAGTTACTACTTTTGTAGCTGTACTGGAATAGCTTGACTAGGGTTGCAACATGTTCTGGAGCACATCTTTACTGCTATTGTAGGAATGTTGCCACAGCCTTCGCAGTGTCCAGTGCTTTCAGCCATTTCTTGATGTTACATGAAGTGAATCAAATTGGCTGAAGACTGGTACCTGTGAATATTGAAACCATGGCAGGAAGCTGAGATAGATAATTCACTTGGCACTTATGGCTGAAGATTATTGCGAATGCTTCAGTGTCATCTCTTGCCCTGATGTGCGGGGCTCATCCATCGTTGAGAATGGGGACGTCTGTGGAACCTCCTCCTCCTGTGGGTTCTTAGTTGTCCAGTACCATTCATGACTACAAAGCTTAGCTCTCATCTGTTGGTTGAGGAATTGTTTAACTCTGTCTGTCACTTGCTGTCAATGCTGTTTCATGTGCAAGTAGTCCTCTTTTGTAGCCCCACCATATATCTGTTTCTGTGCTGTATGACTCTGTGACTCCTCAATTTTAGCTATGCCTCCTGCGCTCCTCAGATGTGCAGAATAAAGGTCAGCTTTCATTAAAAGCAAAAGCATGGGAACAAGATGAATACACTGTGGGAAAGAATGAATATCAAAATGGATAATAAACTGAAATAGTTGAACTCAATACTGAATCTTACAGGTTGTAAAGTGCCTAATTGAAAAAATGAATTGTTGTTCCCCTAGCTTGCATTGGGCTTGACTAGAACACTGGAACAGTCCTAGGACAGGAATGTGAACAAGGGAACAAGATGGTTTATTGAAATGGCAAGCAACCAGGGTCATGCTTGCCATCAAAAAGGTGATTTACTGCAAGTTGGTGACCCAGAGGAGATTGCATTGTGAGCAGTGAGTAGAGTAGACTAGACTAGAAGTACAACTAAATTACTGTTACAACTGGAAGAAGTGCTGGGACCTTTGGCAGTGAGGATGAAGTAAAAGGGCCAATGTTACATATCGTGTGATTGCATTGGAAAATGCCATGGAGGGGTGGTGGTGTTTAAGTGTTGAGGATGTTTTAAAAGTGGACCAGGATGTCATGGAGGAAATGTTCCTTTGAATGCTAACATGGGAATGGAGGGAAAATCATATTTGGAGTCATAGAGTCATACAGCATGGAAATAGGCCCTTCAGTCCAACTAGTCTATGCCGACCATGATGCCAAATTAAACTAGTCCCACCTGCCTGCGTTTGGCCAATATCCTCCAAACCTTTCCTATTCATGTACTTATCCAAATGTCTTTTAAATGTTGTAAAACTGTACCTGCATCCACCACACCCTCTGGCAGTTCAACCACACACTAACCACTCTCTGCATAAAAAAAACCACCTCTCATGTCCTTTTAAATTATTCTCCTATTACCTTAAAAATATGCCCCCTAGTTTTGAACTTCCCCACCTTAGGGAAAAAAACTTTTGCTATTCACCCTATCTATGCCCCTAATGATTTTATGAATCTCTATAACCTTCTATACTGTGTTCTGCTACTCTTATGCACTTTGTATGGTACGATCTCTCTGTATAGCACACAAAACAACACTCTTCATTGAATCTCGGTACATGTGACAGCAATAAATCAATCACTTAATCAATAAGGTCACCCCTCAACCTCCTATGCTCCAGTGGGAAAAGTCCCAGCTTATCCAGCCTATCTTTATAACTGAAACCTTCCATTCCTGGCAACATCCTGGTAAATCTTTTCTGAGCCCTTTCCAATTTAATAATATTTAAATCTCTCCAATTTAGTAATATCCTTACTATAGCAGGGCAACTAGAATTGCACACAGTACTCCAGAAGAGGTCTCACCAATGTCCTGTGCAACCTCAACATGACGTCCCAACTTCCAAAGTCAAAGGTCTGCGCAATGAAGTCAAGAGTGCTAAAAGCCTTCTTACCATTTACTATCTGAGATGCAAATTTCAAAGAATTATGTACCTGAATCCCACGGTCTCTCTGTTCTATAACAACACCCAGAGTCCTACCATTAATTGTATAAGTCCTGCCTTTGTTTTTTTACCAAAATACAATACATTGCATTTATCCAAATTAAACTCCATCTGCCACTCCTCAGCCCACAGATTCAATTAATTATGATCTCTTTGTAATCTTCGATAACCTTCTTCACTGTCCACTATACCACCAATTTTGGTGTCATCCACAAACATACTAAGCATACCTTTTATATTTTCACCTTATAAAAATGACAAAAATGGACCCAGTACTGATCCCTGTGGAACACCGCTGGTCACAGGCCTCCAGTCCAAAAAACATGCGTCCACCACCACCCTCTGTCTCCTGCTGTCAAGCCAATTTTTTAACCTATTTGCAAGCTCAGCCTGAATCCCATGAGATCTAAATTTACTAATTAATCTACCGTGCGGAACCTCATCAAAGGCTTTACTAATTTCCTAGAAAACAACATATACTTCTCTGCTGTCATCAGTCTTTTTGGTTACTTCCTCAAAACACTCAATCAAATTTGTTACACATGATTTCCCTTGCATAAAACCATGCTGACTATCCCTAATCATTCTTTATCTCTCCAAATGCATGTAAATCCTATCTTTCAGAATCACCTCCAACAACTTAACCACCACCAATGTCAGACTCATGGGTCTATAGTTCCCAGGCTTCTGCTTACAGCCGTTCTCAAATAAAGAGACAACGTTAGTTACCCTTCAGTACTCTGGCACCTCACCCATGGTTTTAGATGATACAAATATTTCTGCTAGAGGCCCCACAATTTCCTCCCTAGATTCCCACAATGTCCTTGGATATACTTGATCTGGTCCTGGAGATTTGTCTACCTTTGTGCTTTCTAAGACCTCCAGTACCTCCTCTTCAGTAATGTGAACTGTTTTCAAAACATTAATATTTCCCTGCACTCTCTAGCTTCCATTCCTTTCTCCACAGTAAAAACTGATGCAAAATATTCATTTAATATCTCTCCCATCTCCTGAGCTTCAACACAAAGATGACCTCATTGATCTTTAAAGGGCCCTGCTCTCTCGAGTTCTCTTTTGCTCAATGTACTCATAGAATCTCTTTGGATTACGCTTAACCTTATCTGCCATATCCCCTCTTTGCTTTCCTGACTTCCGTCTTAAGAATGCCCCTACCCGCTTTGTACTCTTCAAGAGATTCATTTGATCTCAGTTGTCTGTATTTAATATATGATTCTGTCTTATTCTTGACTAAAACCTCAATATCTTTGTTCATCCATTGCTCCCTATACTTACCAGCATTACCCTTCACTCTAACAGGAACATAATGCCTATGAACTCTTACTAGTTGTGCCTTTACCTGCGGACAATCTTCTCCAATCAACTTCTAAAAGTTCTTGTCTCATGCCATTAAAATTTGCCTTACTCCAGTTAAGAACTTTAGCTTATATGGAAGGCTTATTCTTTTCCAAAAGTATTTTAAAACGAATAGAATTACGATCACTAGTCCCAAAGCGTACCCCTACTAACACTTCTGTCACTGGCCCAAGAGAAGGTCAGGTTTTTCTCCATCTCTAGGAGGTACATTTACATATTGATAAAGAAAATTTTCTTGAACACATTTAACAAATTTCTCACCATGCAAACGTTTAACACTGTAGCAGTCCCAGTAAATCTTTGGAAAATTAAAATCCCCTTCTGTTACAACCCTACATATATCTGAGATCTCTCTAAATATTTCCTTCTTAATTTCCCTCTGAGTACTGGGGGCCTGATGATACAATCCTGTGAAGGTCATCATCCCTTTCTTATTTCTAGTTTCAACCCATATATTTGCACTGGACAATCCCTCAGAAATATCATCTGTAATTACAGTGGTAATGTTTTCCTTAATCAAAAACACCACACCCCCTTTTCTCTTGGCTCCCTTTCTATCCTCTCTATAGCGTCTAAAACCCGGAACATTGAGCAGCCAATGCTGTCCTTCCCTCAGTTTCTGCAATAGCTGGGATGTCCCAGTCTTATGTTCCGGCACATGACCTGAGGTCATCAGCCTTAGTTGTAACACCCCTTGCATTGAAATAAATGCAGTTTAATTCCTCAGAGTTACCTGATTCTCTGACTTTCTCTTATCAATCTTTTCTAATTAACTTGTTCTTTTCTAATTAACTTGTTCTTTTCTGATTCAGAACCATCCTCATCTTCTTTCTATGTTCACTGCTACTTAGGAATCCCCCCAACTCCCTCTTTAATAGTTTACAGGCTTCCGAAATAGAACTAACAAATCTCCCTGCCAGAATATTGGTCCCTTTCTAGTGCAGGTGAAACCCATCCCTTTTGAATGGGTCTTTTCCATCCTAGAAGAGGTCCTGATGATCCAAGAGTATAATTCCCTGCACATTGCACCATCTCTTCAGCAGTTGATTTATCTGCTCAAGCCTTTTATTCCTTCTCTCATTAGAACTTGGCACCAGGAGTAAACCAGAGATTACTACTTCTTAGATTCTATTTTTTAACCTTCTACGTAACCTCTTATATTCACTCTGCAAAACCTTAAACCTTTCCCTAACTATATCGTTCCTACCAATGCATACAATAACTTGCGACTTCTCACTCTTCCCTTTGA